CAGGCAACTTGAATATTGATTTTTGGGCGAAATTGTTTTATATGTATATGTAATATTTTAAATTTCAGAATAAAATTTACTGTAATTTGCGATACAATTCAGAATAAAATTTACTGCAATTCAGATGCAATTCAGAATAAAATTAACTGCAATTCAGACGCAATTCAGAATAAAATTTACCACAATTCAGAATAAATTTACCGCAATTCAGAATAGAAAATTTACCACAATTCAGATTAAATTTACCGCAATTCAGAATAAATTTATCACAATTCAGAATAGAAAATTTACCACAATTCAGATTAAATTTACCGCAATTCAGATTAAATTTACCGCAATTCAGAATAAAATTTACTGCAATTCAGAATAGAAAATTTACTGCAATTCAGATTAAAATTTACCACAATTCAGAATAAAATTTACTGTAATTCAGATTAAAATTTATCACAATTTATTAATATTTATCATAATTCAGAATAAATTCACTGCAATTTGGTAAATTTATGAATATATTTTTTTAAACAATTCGGATTAAAAATACTAAGCAATCCAGATACAATTTAAACATTCTGATCAGCGTTGATCGGCCTGCCAATCGGAACTTTTTTTAGATTGATAATTCGGCCATCTTTATCACCAAATTCAGCCTAAAATCGGACATCCGATTTCTAGCCGATTTGGACTATTTCGACCAGTGATAGAATTTCAAATATATTTAAAACAAATTAAAATCTAACTTTACTTTTAAATTATATTTTTAGTATTTAAAATTTAATACATTAAATAAATTATAAATATTTAGGAGATGGCCAGAAATGATATAATTTAAATTTTAGGACTTTTAACCCCCTTCTTTCCTATATCATTATTTATTTTAAAAAATGCAAAATTAAAATATAATTCTGATTAGAATTATATTAACTATAAGTGTCTAAGGATGGAAATGTATAATATTATTATGGTTTTAACTCCTCTTCTCCCTTAGAAATGACATCATTTTTGCTATCCCCTTAAATTAAATATTGCAATTATAATTTTATTTAAATTCTTTTATATAATAGTAATATTTTTTTTAATTAAAAGTAAATAAAAATATAAATAAATACAATAAGGTTAAATTAAATTTTATTAATTTTAAATTTTAATTTTTATTAATTAAATATAATTTCTTTTACAGTCTCTGGCGAAAATAATGGCGGTAATAAGGTTGTGGGCGAAACAGGACCAACAATATATAAATAGGTCATAGGAAATTGGCAAAATTTTACTATTAGCTCTACGCATTTTTTCAGGGCCGGAATTATGATAATGTCAGTCAGTTACTAAATAAAGTAATATATTTCTTACCAACGTTATCAAAATTTATCTAAAAAAGGAAAGATTTTCATGATTATTTTAGCCTATTCTACGCGTTATTTCTTGTTACCTATTTCAGTATTGCTCAGGGTCCTGGCGAAACTCCATAATAAATGTGAAACTTGGTAAAACTATATTAAAAAATTAATAATAAATTGATAAAACCTAACTATAAAAATTCATCACACTCCATCTGAGTTTCACTATTTATATTTATCTGAGTAGGTAAAAACTTATTCACCACCTGTAAAACTATAATAAATTTTTATAAAAAAATTGTCAAAACTGAGGTTTAGATGTTTTGTCAAATTCAAAAACTAGTTTAGTCCGCAACTATAAGCGGTAAGAATACCACTTCTTAATTTGATCATAATTTCATAACTATTCCAATTAAAGCATTACTTTTTATACCAAATTAAACAGTGGAATACTCATTTAAAAAGCAATGAAAAAAAAGTAATTTCAAATATTAATATTATTTTTATTTTATTACCCAAAATAGCTCTTATTACAATTAAATTTATATATGAGAGTGTTAACTTTTTCTTGAAACAAATTTTTAGGAATTTTCTAATTGAATTAGAATTTTTTTGCATTTCTATTAGAAATACATATCTCTCTTATAAAAAATGCCAAAATTCTAAATATTTTTATTTTAAATGTCAATACTAAAGCTATATCTTTAAAAATACTACCAAATCAAAATAATGGTTATTTTCACATTATTTTAATTCTCAATAAGAAAACTTTAAAATATGTATATTTTTGACTTACTTACAAAATAATTTTTTAGGCTATTGATGAGCTTATTATTATAATAGAGATGTAAAATAACAACTTTTATAATATTTAAGATGGTATGAAACTTTGTTTTTCAATAGTGAGTTTTTCATAATTATTTTAAAGCCTAAATCTCAAATCATAATGAGAACTTTGGATTGTTTTTGAAGCAGTATATTAAAAAGATGGTAATACAAAAAAAAAAATTATTTATAGTAAGGTTATTGGTGATAAAGCATGCAAAATCAAATTGAAGCATGTGTTGATGCAAATAGAGGTGAAACCAAATATTTATCAAATAATAAAATATATGTATTTTTGACCCTTCTTCTCAAAAATAAAAAAGATTTCATAGCTTCATTATAAAATTTATGTACTATATTAAAAAAACTGACTGCCATTACTTTTGCCGGGATCTGTATATATATTAATAGAAACCTTTTATTTTTAATAAAATTAAAATTATAATAATTATTAAGGATTTAATAGTCTTTTTAATAATATTCAAAATATTTGGAAAATATCAATTAAAACAAGTGTAATACACTGCATCTAAAATTTATTTGATTTTTGAATTAACATTTATAGAAAAACTAACTAATTAAGTAACACCAAATTTTTTTAATAAATCAATGATTTTTTAAATTTTTAATGGTTTTTTTTTTGAAAAAAAAAAAAATCGATTGTGAGACAAGGAAATAATATAAAAGGCTGAAATTTTATACACTTAATATTAACCCATTTGGCAACATTTTTTGCAATTCCAATTACTTCTACATTGCAAAATTAAGTAACAATTAATATTTTTACTAATATGTAATGATTTTTTTTTTAACACTTTGTAAATATTATTTAATTGTAAAAATTAAAAATTAATATTTCTTAATAAGTGTCGGGATAATGAATGTCTGGATAAGAATGACGGGAATAATGTGGTTACGGATTTGGGGGTTATGATTTGTCGGGATTGTGAGCATCAGGATTCTGATTGTCGGAATTTGAATATAACAATTCAAATAGTATTATTTGGATTGATATATCTCATCAACTTACCACGTTGATTATATAATAACCGTCGTAGTGTGTATTGCGTTGAAATAATTATAGTTTCTAGTATTGATCAATTTTTTTTTATGGTGGATATATAAAATCGATTTTACATAACTCTAAACTCCTCCAATTTTTTATATTCCAAACTCTGCGGGAAAATCCTATACAATGATTTTTTTCACATAACACCTTTCTTTTCTCTCTAAAAAAAATTCACACCTGAACAAGTCTTTTGGTTGATTTTTGGTGTTTTTCCAAAAAGTGAGTGTCATATTATTATTTAATAAATAAAATATTACATCTATTATTTGAAACATCTTTCTTTAACCATGTTAAATAATTATAACTACATTTTTTTTTCCTACTATTTTTTTATGGATTAACAGCTTCATCAGAAGACATTGATCCAATAGCATCAATAGACGCAACAAATTTTTTACTAACAATTGATTTTTTCCCATCTAAATTATAAAATGGATTACAAACTTGGTTGATATATACATTATGAATTTTCTTAAATAACTATAATAAAAATAAATAAATAAGTAAGATTATTGCATCAAGTTATTAATTTATTGTAGTAAATTTTGATAAATACGTACATTTCTCATATCCATATTCTTAATTACAGCATCAGGAATCGAAAGAACCACCACAAATTTTACTTTAGTGTTTGTTACATATCCGTACCTAAACAAGACGATTCGTCGTACATTAATTATCAATGAACCTATTTCTCAAAAGGTAAATCTTAACTTACACAGCTAAATCTTCCAACGCATATAATAATCCAAGATAAGTATCATCCGGTTCAGGTCCAGCGGCGCCAGCTAATGATTCAAATATATATGATTTAGAACAAATCTATTTATTTTTTTTTTTTAAAAAAAAAAATTCCCATCCCAAAATCTAACTAATTCAAACCTCTTTCATCAATAACATCACAAGATGTATGAGCAATATAATGAAACTTTAAATCAGGATGAGATTTACTAAAATTTTTAATATATAATGGATTATTCTTGTGAAAATTAGAAAAATATTAATAATTTAAATAATAATGACAAGGTTTTAGAACAGATAAAGTTAAATTTTTATTCGGTTACCTGTTTACCGATTATAGCAATGCTCTGTATTTTTATATTACTCATTTTATAACTTTATAACGTTAAAAAGCAGAAGAAAAGAAGAAGTGGTCTCGAAAAACAATTCAAGTATTAGGTACTTATAGAGTTCGTGCAATGCACATGATTTTATGTAACCTGATACTGATCTAACTTTAAGTATTTTTTGGGATGTGATCATCGTGTATCATAAAAATCTCGATTTATTCTATTCTTGTATTGTCCGAGTTGGACCAAATAAATGATGTTTCTCGAATAAGTAATATAATCATTATGAAAGTTATGGATTTTTTATTTAAAATTACTTTTAATTACGTATAGTTAGTTATAATATATAAAGAATAAATTGAATAAATTACTTTATATTTTCGAAATGTTGGTGGTCTATTTTAATATTGTCTTTCAAGAATTAGGAAAAAAAAAATTTTTTTTTTTCCTTCAACCGATTTAATAATCTTGTCGTAACCTTATTGGTATCGCTTAACGCAATGGCCTTTATTTAGAAATGGATGGCGTATTAAGTGATTATTTTAGAAATTTTATTTGCAGCCGAGGTTGAACTAAATGTTGAACATCTGCAGATCACTCAGGTGACGTGACGAAATATTATTAAATCTTGGACTGATGAATTTTTACAGAAACTAATGTATTATTAAAAAACATAATAGGTTTTACCGTAACATATTTTATAATTTGATCGAGATTTTTATGAAGCAGTTATAGAATATGATTTAAAATCTTTTAACGACAATATGTTGTAATGAATCTAAATATGAGCGTCAACAATAAAAGTTTAGATTCCAATAGTTTAACCAATGAGATACGAAGATTAACTCGAAGTGGATTAGAAGCTAAATATTTCGAGATATATGATTTTAATAACTTATAGTGGTCATTAAGTCAAAGTTAGTGGTTATCCCATCGGTATTATGTATACACCAATGAAAAAAAAGTATAAAAAAGTATAAAATCCATCGGTGTATACGTCATACCCATGAAATAACAAAAAAAGGATTTAGATTTTAGAGTTAAATTTATAATAAATTAATCTATAAAGTTAAAAAACATGATTATTATGTAAAATGATGCCAATTACTCCTTGAAGATTCTAATAAATATGATTATTAAATAAAGAATTGGTTTGTAAATGCTTACAAAGACGGATGTTGCGATACAAAATTAAGTTTTTTTTAAATAGATAATCTAGAAAAATTATTCGTTGTGTGAAACGTATCGTTACATATTTTAATATTTTTTCCGAATCCGTGAATGCTAGATATTACAAATATTACATCACTAATTCGACTTATAGGTTATGCAAGCCATTCAAACATTACAAATCACGGAACACAAATTTATTTAGGGTTCCCCGAATCAATTGGTATTTATATTCATGTAATTTCGTTAAATTTACTAAAAAAAAACATGGGAAAAAAATTTTCTAAATTATCGCAATCTTCCTCCAATGATAACGAAAATGAATTGGAAAGATCAAATGTACCAAAACCTTTTAAATACGTTGACGGAAAAAGATACCATAATGTAACAAGTTTAAGATATCATTTACCAAATGATGGTGATGAGTTCGATAGATTACAAATGCAACATTATTTATCAAGATATATTTGGCAATCAAATTTTTCCGCTCCTGTACATGAATTATTAAGGAATGGTGGTGAAGATATCAGGGTTCTTGATGTTGGGTAAATAACATAAACATATAAATACAAATATATATATATATATATGTATGCATGTATGTATGTATATATGCGTAAAATTAATTATATTTTATTTCTCTACTTTAACCTTGATAGTTGTGGACCAGGAACGTGGATTTTAGAAATGTCATCCGATTATCCTCAAACTGGAATGTTTCATGGCATAGATATTGCACCTATATTTCCTGATACAATTAAACCATTTAATGCAACGTTTTCTATACAAAATGCATTAGAAGGTTTAAATTTTCCGGATAATCATTTTGATTATGTCTATATGAGATTCCTTACAGCAGCATTTTCAACTGAACAATGGGAAACTATTGTTATACCTGAACTTGTTCGTGTAACAAAAAATGGAGGTTATATAGAAATTATGGAATGGGATGTAAAAATATATGGACAAGGACCAATTGCTAAAAGATTAATGGATTCGTGTAACTATCAAAGTTTTATTTATTTATTTATTTAATGAATTAATAATTTAACAAAAGAAAATTTTTATTTTTTTATATAGTTTTATCAGATTTAAGATCTCGTGGTATAAATGATTATATTGTAGAAGTTATACCAGAATTTATGGAAAAAATAAATCAATTAACAAATATTGAACATGAAACTTGTGTCAATCCACAAGGTCTTTATGGTGGACAACTTGGTAAACTAGCTTTAGATAATGGTATAAGCATATTTCGTACATATAAACCAAAATTTTCTAAAGAATATAATATGACATCAGATGAATATGATAAATTAATAGAAGATTTCATTAAAGAAATGGACATTTATAAACCTCATAATATAACTCATAGATTTTGGGCTAAGAAAATTTAATTTAATTTATAATAAAAAACAAGTATGGTATTTTTTTAAAAGATCTTTATAAACATTACCTTATTTGGGGTTTTTAAAATAAAATAAAAAAAAAAACGCGAAAAAAGAACATCAAAGAACATCCAATCAAATTATTTTACACACCTGGTTAAGTAACTAGGTGTGATTGGATAAAAACAACCTGATTGGTTACACATAATTAATTGATATTACTGCGGGGTATGAATAATAATAAATGGGTAAATGTACTTAATGCACACTATCATTAAAATCGATGCATTCCCTTTTTATACTTTTTGTACCTTTTTGTAAAGTTAATATGGAAACTATAAATTAAAACTTGTTCATAATCAGAAGATTACCTTGTATATAAAAGTATTATAAATGTAACGCCTAAAATAATCTTATAAAGTATTAATTAAAAATGCACATGTGCTTTAATTAATAATAAGCGCCATTTTTACATATTAATTCACCCTAAAGTGAAATGAAAAAAAGTTTTTTGAAGTTTTTCTTTAAAAATTAATGATTTTAACTTAATGGGAAATATTTTTTTTGACTTTATTTATTTATTTGTATATTTTAACAGTGTAATCGACTTTTCATTTTGATAAGGAGGAAAAAAGAGTTGTAACAGGGATTTTTTCGTAAAAGATCTACTTTATCTAATTTATATTATCCCGAATTTTCATTTTTTCACATCAAAAAGGATATTTACGATTTATAATAATTCACGTGAAAAACGTGTAAGTTTGCATTTCAAAAGGGTCACCTTACGATAATGTATAAATGTGGTTATACCTCCACTTTCGATGGGATTAAGTACAATAGGAATTTTAGAATTCTTTTTATATATATCATGATTCTTTTTTTGATGATAACAATAAAATATATTTTCGTAATCCATAAAAATGTTAAAAAGTATAATATAACCCTTATTTAATAACCTTTATTAAGCTCGTATATTAGACTTATTTTAGTTTAAACTTTTTAAAGGACAATCAAAATTTTTTCGGTTCTTCTTTACTGTAAATTAATTTTTTTAAAAAAAATATATATTTATTTAGCATATTCAAATTTTTTTTTTTAAAGTTCTTATAAAAAAAAAACCAAAGCATTTCCCATTGTTTGGAAACAAGTTTTTTTTAAACGCCCACATATTTCACAATTACTTTATATGTAAATTGGATAAAAAAAAAATTTTTTTTCGGCGCATAATCTTCCATTTAAGTTTGGCACGAGGCAAAGAATTGTGTTAAATTGTCTAATCGTTATAGTATAAGTTGTATTATATCATCAACGAAAGTTCTATTCAAAAGGATATATAAGAAGTACTTCTCTCCCTCCTTGGTATTTTTCTTTCTTTTTTTTTTGTTTTTAACAAAAAAAAAATTTTTATTATATTTTTCTTTTTTTTTCAAATGGAAATGATTAAATGCAAATGTGTAGAATGCACAACATCACGTGTAATGGACTTAGATTTTAAGAGAGATTTACAACATCTTGTTCTCACGTTATGTCGTATTTTATTTAATAATATTCAAGAAAAAATATCTTATAGGAATTCACAATCATTATGTCAAAAAATGTATCATGGAGATATTAGTTGTATTGACGATTTACACCCATTTGTTAAAATATTTAAGATGGCAAATTATTTACAATTTAGAACGGTATCTTTTAATAATTCAACAACAAAGATTATATTTAACTATCAATGGGATTTACAAGATCAAGATTTGAATTTAAATCATTTAATTGAAATATCAAAATTTTATTATCAAAGTTTTTTGTCTTTTTTTTATAAAATTGACAGATGGAGACGTTTATCTTTGAAAAGCTTAACGAATTCTATGATATTATCAAGAATCGAACATTTTATTCCCGGATTTAAATATCTTTACGATTTTCATTGGATTTCAGATTCATCAAATTCGTCATCAAATTCTCTAAATTCTTCATCTGTTTTTTCTTCTTTAAATTATCTTGCCGCTGATTATGATCCTAATGTGTTCTTTTTGGCTTCGGATTTTGGTGTATGCATCGTTGTAATTGTTAAAAATTACTATAGAGATTCTATTTATAAATCTCCTCAAGATTTAAATGAAGAATTTAACGAATATATTGATTTAGTTAATAATTACAAAAAATATGCTACGGAAAGACATGAAAATAAATTATTGACGGTTATCGGTGCTACTTTTACTGAAGATCCAAATTGTATTTATCCTGTTGAATTTGTGGATGAAATTGATCGTTCGATCGCAAATGCTGTTCAATCATACTCTAATTCAAATTCTTCATCTTCAACACTTGGGATTTATCAAGGTAACATACATACATACATATATATATATATAATTTTATTTAATTCAATGCCGGTTATTGATTTCATTTCTTTTTTTCGTATCACAGCTCCTCGACAAGAGCCTGCAAGGACATATGAAGCTAACAAAGAAATATACGGTCAATCATGGGATCATCATCCCGAATTAACTCAAAAGGGTATATTATAAGCGAGAAACACAATTATATGTGTTTTCACATATTATAAGTTCTAAAATTTCTCCTTTTTTATGCAGGTTTTACACAATTGATGAAAATGCCATTAAATCCCGGAAAAAGTGCGCCAATTGTTGGTGTAGATTGGGGATACTATCAACAAGATAATGATTTCGAACAAAATGATTATTATAATCAAGATTATAATAATTATAATAATTATAATTATAATTCTTATTATGATTATACTTATCAAAATTATAATTAATTTTCTTTCTTTTGTTTTTTTTTTTTTTCACATAAAAAGAAGGAAATTTTAATTATAATTTTTTTATCATTACTATTATTATTATTATTTTGTATAGACTTTTGATTTGACACTTACATACATATATATAGAATATTTTATTTTTACATATTTTATTTTGTTTTATTTATTTATTTATTTATTATTTATTTTGTAAATTAATTTTTTTTAAATGAACTTATCAAATTACGATTTGAACAAATAACAAACCACATTCTGATTGGACGTATCAATTGCCGCAGTATTATTAAACGTATAGTACAACAGAGAAGCAAGATCCGCACGATAACCATTTATACGATTATCCGTATGGGCGGATTAACCTATCTATCAAATGATGACCTTTGCAGTAGGAATTCTTTGTTTATTTTGTAAGATTATTTTTATTTAATTAACAAGGAGTCTTAGTATGTTTAGTACTAATCTCATATCCTACTACGTCGAAGTGTAATATTATTATCTCGGGTACATCCAAAATCACATGACTTAATTTTAATTTGTCACGTGTTCTATCCCAATAGTAAATCAAATTATTTCATTGTTTCATAATTTCATTTATAAGAATAGTTTATCTAACATTATTGGTCGTATATAAAAATATTGGTTAATAAATGGTAAGATTTGTATTTATACATTAAGCAAATAATTATAATATTAATAATTTATTCAAGATTTCTGGTAATATAATATTTAATTTACAAAAATAAGTAATTTAGTTAATATAATAATATTTTAAATATTAGTTTTTTTTTTTAGTTTTAAGATCTTAATTTATAGTACTTTATTAGTATAATAATATATAAATTATATAATATGTTAAAATATAACCAAAATATTAATATATCATCATTTTAAAAAGAATTATTGCAAGTTTGTAATAGTATATTTAACTATATAAATATTTTACATATAATTCTTTGCAAATATTCTGTAATTTAGAATGTTTAATTTGTATTAGATATAATAATAGAATTTATTCCTTTTTACTTGTAAAATATTTTAGATATTAATATATAATAGTAAATATTTTTAGTTTTTTTTAGTATGTATTTGTAATTTTATTAAAGTATAAATAAAAAAAAAGTATACAAAATAAATTTTTATAAATATTAACAGTTAATTATATAGTAAAATAAAATTTTAATACTTTATAAAGTATTATATTAAAAATCAAATCAAATCAAATTAAAATCATTGTAGTTTAATATTCTAATATAATTAAATTACAAACCATTTATTATATATATATATTTCACGTGTACTGTTAAATAATTATTAATTTTATAAATAAACTTTATTTGTAATGAGTTATTTTAACTAGATCCACTATACTGCTGTTTTATTATTTTTACTTTTGTTGATGTGATTAAAAATTTTTCTGGATTTTTATAAAACATCTTACCAGTATTTTAAATTAATTGATCAATAAAACTTTTTTTAATTTATTATTTATTTTTATAAAAATAATATTTTATTTTTTATATAAATATAAAATTTTTTTAAAAAATTATCCTATCTAATTTATAAATATAGATTTTGGTACATTTAGAAATGTATACCATTCTCTAGGTGGTATTTATGTACAGTTTGGCAATATGCTAGCACATCAAAGAAAGCTAATAAAGAACTATTTTGTTATTGGGTTTATTCTATTTGGAGGAAAATTTGATGAATTTATAATACCATTTATTTTAGAAATGAAGGAATTAGAGAAAGGAAAGGTGATGACTGTCCAAGGACAAGATCATGGATAATTGCTGGTTTAGGCATTATTACGATAGATTTACCTTAAGATAACAATATGACAGGAATACTAAGGTATTTTTTCAACTTAGTTAATAATATAATAATATAATTTTATGACAACTATTTAAAATTTTTTAAAAAATAAATTTAGATATAATGCAAATAAGGGTTGTCGTACTTGTAAAACTACTAAAGAATCATTAAGTGCTCACAATTAGAATATCGTAACAACATTACGTTATCATCATATTACAGACAAAGAAATTTCAAAAATTTCTCATGAGACTATAATGTCAAGAAGAGATCAACTTTGTACAGAATATGGTTTATGATCATTACCTAGTATTTTAGATAAATTAAAAAGGGAAAGACAATTGGACAGCTATTAAAATTAACTTGTAAATTATTTTCACGAGAAGGAGAAGATAATTTTATTGAAATTTGGAAAAATTTTGAAATCCCAAAAAGGTGGTCTCGCTTACCAAATTTGATTACTCACTACAATTAAGGTTGCTTGTCTAAACCTCTTCAAAATCCTACGATTAGTTTCGTCAAAATTTTACTATAGATTTATTATAGTTTCGGCAGAGTTTCAGCAGTTTCGGCATTTATAATAAGTTTCGGCAGTTTCGCCTTTCTCCAAAGTTTCGCCAGTTTTTTAATATAACTTTAATATAGTTTCGGCAGAATTTCGCTTTTCGGCGAAATGCCATCTTTCCTAAACCCTTAGGTTTCGGCAAGCAACCTTAACTACAATAGTTTTATAATGTTAGATTTACTTAGATCTATGATTATACCATTTTTGTTAAACCAGTTTTTAAAAGAATCAAGTATCAAACGTAATGAAACAGCCATGATTCAACAAAGAATTAATACATTTCAAGTTAATTCAGTTCCAAAAATTATTATATCTTGTTGGATACATGTTGCAAAACTATAAAAACAGTTTTTAACAAGAAATTTACATCAGATAGCTATGACAATGTCTTGAAGAAGAGTTTTCAATCCTTCTAAAGGTATAGTTACAAATTTAATATTCAAAATGTGGAATAATTTCAAATAATTAACAATATTTTACTTTTATAGGTTTTTGTAAATTTTATTAATTTACCAAACATATATGTTAATATGCATCTTTTGATGCATGCTAAACCTTTAGAACATTTATTAATACAAAAGTTGGTATAAAAGAAATGGTCTATCGTATTTTTAAAAGGATGGTACCAAAGACTAATTTCAAAAACATAGATTTGAATTTATTAAAGCGTTATAATACTCTATTTGCAATTCGACATTTAGCAGATGGTGGTATTGATCCAAGATTTAATAGATCTTGTATTGGATTTACAAATTCAAATTTTGGACAATTATTTTTAAATTGGTATGTTACAGAAGATAAATATTTAACTGAAGCAATAATTGAACAAAATCAAGACGATGATGATGATACAAAAAGTAAGTATTTTATTTATTTTATTGCATATAGTAGTACATATTTGATATTTATATTTACTAATCTTTTAATTTAGTTATATCTCCAGTAAACTTTATTTCCAATATTTCTTTAAAAAAAAGAATATCAAAGCAGAAACGTGATAAACTTCTTTTAACTTTGCATAATTTTAAAACTGAATTATTTTTATCTTATGTGAATATAAAGTTTGAGGCGGCACTTATAAACTCTTCAATTAATTGGTACAAATTTGCATCATATATGATTAAAGAAAATGGTATCCTTTTAAAAGTTCACCTACATCTAAGGTTGCTTGCCGAAACCTGTTTGGCCTAATGCTGAAAGGTGAAACCTCTTATATAGTGCCAAAACGCTGAAACACCGAAACTGCAAAATCTGTCAAAATTGTGAAACTGCTGAAACATGCCAAAACCTTTATAATAGGTTTCTCCGTAGTTTCAGTATAGTTGATCATAAGATTTGCATATAATTACGCCAAGTTACACCAATTAATAATATAATTTAGATAATCAAATAATCTACAGATAAAAGATTAAACTTCAATATTTTACCGTCATCTTAGTTCTTTTAAGCTTTATCTAGTGTTAGAATTTTCATTTCTAACTCCTATATTAATATTATGATATTACACGTTTTTGCAGTTTTTTTTAAGGGGCTTATATTCATTAAAGGAAAATGCGTAACATACATTTAATAAACCAAATTCCGTCATCTCCTTTAACACTGAACTAAAGTTTCTTTTACTTTCTTCCGTTTTCTTAATAATAAAATTAATAATAAACTGTTTCAAATGACTGATCACATAGAAGATTCACCCATTAAAAAGAAAAATAGAGGAGGTAGGCCACCTAATAGCATTTGGGAAGATATTAATAAAGGAGAAGCTGTTGGTTCTGGCAAATTTGCTGCCTCCTGCAAGTACTGTAAAAATATATAGTCACGCGATGAAGTTTCAAAGCTTGAAGAGCATCTTTCAAACCATTGTCCAGATACGTCAGCAGCAGTTGTTAGAAGGTATATGACTAAAGTAATGGAATGGCAAGATAAGTCCAAGTCATCCAAAAAAAAAATACTTTGAAAATCAAAGTAATATAGATGATTACCATGATTCAACAGAGCTTAACAAACAAAGATGTACACGAATTAATCGTGCATTAGTTAAATTTTTTATTGTGTGCAGAATTGCGTTTAGAATAGTGAAACATCTCTTTCTCATCAATTTTATAAAAGAGCTTAATACCAGGTACAATACACCAACAAGAGAAGTATTAGTAAATTAACTACTTGAACGTGAATTAGCTTAAGTGAACTTTAAAGTTAATTCTAAGCTTGAAAAGGAAACGAATTTAACGTTAGGTTTGTTAAATTAAATAGGCTATCATATGTGATTTTTATTTAATCTTACTTACTATATAATATTAATTTATAATTTAGCCTTTGATGGTTGGACGTCTGGTACACATTGTTCAATTTGGAACTTCATTGTAATGACTTCGTCACGTAAAAAATATCTTTATCAACTTTTTGATTTGTCTGAAAATTCGCACACTGCAGAATATTTAGTTACGGTAATTGAAAAGGTTATAGAAGGTATTGGAGAAGATCGAATATGTGCTGTAGTTTCTGATAATGCAGCCAATGTTTGTAATGCATGAAAAATTATACATGAGAATCATCCAAAAATTGAGAATGTGTGATGGCTTGCACATTATATCAACTTAATTGCATGCGACATCGTCAAGGAAAAGTTTGGGAAATGTTTATTAAAAAGTGTTAATATTTTGACAACCTTTTTTAGAAGTTCTCATCAGGCTAATGCAAAACTTGCTCAAATAATTAAAGAAAAAAGAATTAGTGGAAGAGGATTAAAATTATATTGCAAGACACACTGGACTACTGCTAGTGAATCCATAAATTCAGTAATAAATTTGGAATCAGCACTAGAAGAAATGGCCAGCGATCACGATAAAGTGCTAACAAATGACAAAATAAAACTGATTATTCAATCAAGAAATTTTTTTTCAAATTTACGAGTTCTTGGATTTGTTCTGGATTCTCTAAGAAAAGCAGTACTTTCATTAGAATCGAGAAGAGCTACACTTGCAGATTATTTCCTGAACTTGGCAAGACTTGCAGCTATATTAAAAAGTTACCCAAATCATTAAATCCTGCATTCTGAAGTCATTGTATCAAAGTAATAAATGAAAGATTTGATGAGTTCGATGATGATAAGTATATTACTTGTTTTTTTATGGATCCCAGATTTAGAAACGCGCCACTTAAAAAATGCGCCCTCATGAGAATTATCAAATGTGCAGCTTCAATCAGAAAAAATTTAGGTTTCAGCCGTTACGAAGCTAAAACTTTATGTAATCAAATACAGAAATATATTAATGAGCAAGAGCCATTTGACTTAGATATCAGTTTTGCTAAAGATAATCCCGTGAATTGGTGGAAATATATTAATACCAAACCAGAACCAGATGTCCTGCCAAGAATTGCAAGTTATCTATTTGCAATATGTCCTAACTCAGCAACTTGTGAATGTGGATTTTCGACTTTAGGATGGCTATTTCATAAACATCGCTTAAATCTTAATGTGGATAAACTAGGACCCCGGACATCACATATATAACTCACATTTGAGTTTTAGCAAATTCAATCAAAATTAGGTTAAACTCATAATTTTAGATAGAGCAAATTAATTGAAAATTAATTAATAGTCATAATTATGAGTTTTAGCAAATTGTGTTGATTTTACAAAGTCATATTTTATATTTGAGCAAATTGATACTTTTTTTTGAATTTAACTTATCCTTTTTTTTTAACTTTTATTAATAATATTTTTAAAAATATTAGTTTTAGGGTCCGGATTATATTTTGGCCAAAATTAAGCATAATGCAGGCCAAAAACTGTCTGATTAGTTTTGCAACATTTTTTTATTTTCAGTTTTTTTGCGATTATCTTGGCATCCAGTGATCTGATTTATGCAGATTTTTTTTTAATTTGTAAAGCTCGATGAGGGCTACAAAATGAAAAAAAGTTCGCATAAATTGGACTACTGGATGCCGAGATAATTACAAAAAACTTGATTTTTTTTTTGAAATTTAGGCCAATTTGCTAAAAAGTTACACTCATATTTTGAGTTTTAGCAAATTAATATAGATTTAAAATGTGATAATTTGATTTTTAGCAAATTAGGTCTATTTTAGCAGGAGCAAAAAGTGCTAAATTCATGCAGATCAGTTATGAGTTATATATGTGATGTCCGGGGTCCTGATAAACTAGAATCCATGTGCAAATTAATTTTGTATTGGAAATCCAATTCAAAAACTGAAATTGGATTTTATGGAATTGATCAAAAAAAGAATACTCGTCTTAGTGATGATGAGATCAATATACGTATTGCAGAAGCTTTTGCAAAAGATGACGATGAGGAATATAATAAGGAGCAAGCTTCTACTTAGAGATTAACTACAAGCGGCGAAACAATACCCGAAGACAATTGCCGTATAGTAATCGAAAGTTTATGGATTGATCAATTTGTTAATTTATCGTATGATTCAATTACTAGTGATATTCCAAGAGATATATTGGATAATTCAGATGAAAATAATGCAGAAGATGATGAAGTTAATGATAGTGGTAATAACAAGAGAGCTGGGAAAGGTGACTATGATTATGATATAGATGATGTATTAGGTATGGATGACAGTGATAATAATGATGATAATTATAATGATAATGAAAAATAATAATAATGACATATGGGCTGATCGTGCTCATCTCACTAAATAAGTTTATGTGATGTTGACGAGTTGTACCACCTAAGATCGTGAGTTGTACCACTAGTATACCACCCAAAAATGTGTGATAAAAAAAACTCCCACCAAAAAAGTATTAAAAACGCATGAAAAAAAAAGAAATCTAATAACCGTACAGGACATAACCTTTTCGCTATTAAAATTGCAAGTTCAGATCAGTTTCATTTCAAAATTAACAAAATTACGAAATATTATAAAAAGTAGTCTTATACAAACCTTTATAAATAGTTGCACTTAAAACGAAGTTTAGTCACATTTTATAAAAGAATTGCACCATGGTGAGTTAACAATAATATAATTATTGTTAGATTTTTACTAAATGTCTTATAATTTATATAGGTCGCCAGAGTTTTTTGTCATGATTATCCTAATAATCCTTACATAGATGCCTTATACTCTATCAGAAATATTCATTCAAGATATAAAATAATAGCACTTGGATACTATCCACAAAATATTAAATATATGTAAAAAAGTAGTAGGAGCATCGTTCAATATCAAATTCCAGATGGATACATCATAGAAACGGAAGCTGCAAACAAAGCAATACGTTGTGAAATGAAATACATCTCGGTAAATAAAGTGAGTGATGATCTTAAACTAATAAACGTAATTTGTTATCTGTTATATAACAAAATCATTTATTAATGTGAACAAGGTTTTATACACTATAACATGAAAAGAAAAACAGGCAGAATATTCAATATCTAGTGAACGATCAGCAAGTGGGGCGATAAATGCTTTTTTAAAGGTAAATTTTTAGAAATTAGAAATTATTTAATGTATTATTATGTTTAACTATAATTTCTAAAAATATTAAAAACGTAACATCTATTTTTATAGAGAATTAGCCAAGAAAATTCTAGACTTTCTGGGATACATGTTTTTGGATTAGATATTGAAATATTACATCAAGTATGAACTGGAGAATTAACTATAGCAAAAACTACTAATATTAACAAAAGAAAGCAACCCCTTAGTGAAGTATCAGTATTACAACAAAATAAACGATATGCATCATTTGGGAGAGATGCTCACAAGAAAATCAAACAACTTATTTTATAACATCGGATGATTTCAGAGTCTGAGGAGCCAATTCACTTATGTAATATGGAATTGGAATATGAAGATCATATTATTAATATAAAATATAATCTATTATTAGATCATATAAAATTAGATGCTTATGTGCGTGCCTGTGATGAAGCTTTATTAGGACATGATGGTTACCGAAGGCTTGCTGCTGTAGAAGCATGATTGACACATGAATATCAAGTTGCACAAAGAAGAATAGAAATTACAAAATTAATCAATGAACAAATACCAATCAGAACAATTAATCTTAATAAAGAGGTTAATCAACTTGATGATGATGATGAATATCAAAGCAATCCTGATGGAATTATGGTTGATGAACAAGAAATTGGTAATGGTGTTTATCGATCTATTAGAAATCTTCTTCAAATATTTATTCCTATTTGGAATGAATCAAATCCTCCAATTCTTCAACCAGGAGATACAATTAATTTGAAACTTGGTGAAGATGGTAGAAATGTGGACTGCAAACAGAATCATGTGATGTTAATTATTTGTTTATTAAATGAAAAAGATGAAGTATTAAAACCAGATCATCAGTATAGGTAGTATTAATTTTGTAATTTTTTAGAACATTTATTAAATAATGAGAAATTAGTATTTGCCTTTTTATAGATAAAGAAAAATATGAAACATTAGCTAAAGTTGGAAATCTATTTAAGTATCAGCTCCAAGATCTTCAAAAAAATGGAATTTCTGTTGATGGTATGCATTAGCCAATTGAATTATATTTTTTCTGATGACTGGAAATTTATGTACAATATAATGGGATTAAATGCACTAAATGCAAAATATTTTTGCCTATATTGTGATTGTGAAGCAACATCAGGAAATTTTATAGCGCGAAAAATTGCGTAAGTTTACGATTTTGTAAGTTTA